AGATGGTGATGCTGATCAAGAATATATATACTTTATGGGGTCTAAGGTGTCTCCTTCACTGCGTTGCAAACTTCTGGCCAAAATTATAATACCCTTTGCTCTGCAAGGGTATAACAACATTGCGGATAGAGAGAAATGCAAGACACAGATCAAAAAAAAACAAAAAGCACAAGAAAATTTAATATTTATTTATAGAAATAAAACCCCGTCAAAAACAGATTCACTCGCGAAGCGAACGGAGTTTAAAAGTATATTGCTTCAAAAGCCGAAATTTTAACGAATTGATTTAAAACCACCGGTGGCTTTAGCAAAAACAAATAAAAATTCGGAGCGCACAAAAAAAAACACGACCGTTCGCCTTGAAAGTCAAGAGAGAGAGATTTATCTCAATTTCTACAAACTTATTTAATTTGTGGGGATGATGTTATAAGTAATTCATATTCAGTTCGTTCTAATGAATTATTGTCATTTAAAAAGGTAGTTCAAGCCGAAAAAAAGCAGCTCAAGCAGATGAGATCGCTGGTGGGGCCTTGGCGCTTATTAGGTTGCGTGCGATGTTTTTTTCACCGCAAAATCAATTAGATCTGGAATTTTTATGGGGTCTGCTGGCCAATATGAGGGGCACCGCTGCCGCCGTGGGCTTTACCATCGAGGTGATCTGTACGGTAGAAAGTATAACCACGTATATAAAAGATATATCTGCTTGTGATGTGCGTTTCAACCAGCAGCGTCGCATCGATGTGATTTACATTCAGGAATTGTGGTCATCCAAGTTTATGCCGTGAAATGCCTTGGTCATTATCATATTCTGGTTTTGGATCAGCGTTTGCATGGTGGCTTTCATAAATGACATGAGCTCCATAATACTTTGTTGCATGGTAAACATCATAGTTCCAAATTGCTTTATGGCTGGACTGGGACGTGCTGAGCGTTTTCTGAGTGTGGCTGGAGTGGATTTTCCATACCCGTTCGTAGAGCACCAGCGTAGGAGATGCCGCTGGTGGTACTGAGCGGACCGAAAGATGATCTGGCTGCCTTGGCGAAAAATACGTCTGGCGTAGTTTTTGATTTAAAATACACATTTTGTGTACTTTGTTGACGCGTAGCTGTCGCTCGTCGCATGCGACTCTTCAGCTCCTTATAGACCAAACAGCCTCTGTAATTTGCCGTATGGTTTCTCCGCAGCTCCCACATTTTTTTGTATGGGGGTCTTTTTTGTTGGCAGGGCAGTGTGCGGAATTGTGGAAATCTCCGCAGACTACACAGACTGACCGAAGTGTGCAGTATGTCCTGGTGTGTCCAAACTCCTGACAATTTGTGCATTGCACTGGGCCATCTGTTTGTGTGGTTCTTCCACGGTGATCCTCCGATGCAATAAGCAGTTCTTAGAGCGCTTGTAGATCTGATGCACTATATCAGAGGGGGCAACGTCTGATTCGACGTTTAAAAGGAGAGAATGAAAAAAAAAATTTCTAACACCGTTGTTTTTGAACAGATCGACTTCATTTCTTCCAGATGGTGTTTTCTAACTACTTTTGAATTTTAAATTAAATTTTATCAAAATTGGAAGACTCTGACATAGAGCTGTCATATGAACAATCGTCGAAAACATAGAAACTTAAAAAAAATCGACAAAGCTTCGATGTTGTTAAGCCTTTATGTATAATGTTCGACTTTTTTATTCAGCACACCATTGTGGTGCATTGAGACCGCGAAGAATTATTTCCAAAGTAGAAATTAAACGATTAAGTTTGTCTACTTTGCGGCTTCTGTTTTCTTTGTTTAATTGAAAACATCTATGCTGCTGTAACTTTACTTAAAGGGTTAAATGAGTTTTATGATTTCAAAAAATCGTTGTTTTTTTTGTATTATTAAATTTAACATTCTAATTGTTCTTTTGTCAAATCGATCCAAGCGAGAGTTTTAAAATAGACAAATGAAGGTACGCTCTACAGATTAGTTCGGTTCAGCGCTCAAAACTTTAAGCGCGTTTTCTAAACTGTGTTTGAAGTCGGCTGTTAAGTTTTCTCGAGCAGTACTAAACCGATATTGATGATATTTTAGACAGGTTCGGGATACAACTTAAAACAATTCGAACGAAGGATTTTTATACCCTTGCAGAGCAAAGGGTATTATAATTTCAGTCAGAAGTTTGCAACGCAGTGAAGGAGACGCCTCAGACCCCATAAAGTATATATAGTCTTGATCAGCATCACGAGTAGAATCGGAATACGTCTGTACGTCTGTCCGTCTGTCCATATGTCCGTCTGTCCGTTTTCGCGCAAACTAGTCTCTCAGCTTTAAAGCTATCTTGATGAAACTTTCCCAAAAGGTGTGTAGTTATTGCACGCAGTATATAAGTCGGAACGGGCCGGATCGGCCGACTATATCGGATAGCTCCTATACGAGAGAATGAAATAAAAAATTGTCACACCGTTGTTTTTGATCAGATCGACTTGATTTCTTCAAGATGGCGTTTTCTAACTACTATTGAATTTCGGATTAAATTTGATAAAAATCGGATAGCCCTATCATATAGCTGCCATAGGAGAGATCGAAAATTATATAAAAATGCTCGTGGGTTTAAAAACAACGACGTTATAATTTTTTTCCATTATTTATATATATATTTTCTGATCTCTCCTATGGCAGCTATATGATAGAGCTATCTGATTTTTATAAAATTTAATCCGAAATTCAATAGTGGTTAGAAAACGCCATCTGGAAGGAATCAAGTCGATCTGATCAAAAACAACGGAGTAAGAATTTTTAATTTCATTCTCTCGTATGGGAGCTATCCGATATAGTCGGCCGATCCGGCTCGTTCCGACCTATATACTGCGTGCAACAACTAGACAACTTTTGGGGAAGTTTCAGCCAGATAGCTTTAAAACTGAGAGACTAGTTTACATAGAAACCGACAGGAGGACAGACGGACAGACAGACAGACGGACAGACGTACAGACGGATTTGGATTCTGATCGTGATGCTGATCAAGAATATATATACTTTATGGGGTCTGAGGTGTCTCCTTCACTGCGTTGCAAACTTCTGACTGAAATTATAATACCTTTTTGCTATGCAAGGGTATAAAAATTGATTACTCAACATGTTTTGTTATAAAAATAAAATGATTTGAAAAAAGTACGTTTTTTTAGAGGAACCTGGCACTAAGGCTTGAATGATGTCAATGTATACCAAATTTTTTGAAAATTATATATATAAACAATAGAAATAGTATTGATACATTCAATTCAAAAAAGTAGGTTTTAACTCTTGCAACAGTGAAGACGGATGTGAAGATGTTTTTGTAAATTTGAAAATTATGAATTAAAGAAAGTGTGCCATTAACAACATATGCTCAACCAAAAAGTTGGATTTTATGACCTTTTCAAAGCCCCTTCGGCAAGCCGAAGCTTATATACCCTTGCAGTCATTAAGTATGTCGAACAAAATACATAAAGGCTAAACAATATATTGTTCATATGACAGCTATATGATATAGTCGTCCGATTTTGATAAAATTTAATTTGAAACTCAAGACTCATTAGAAAACTCTATGCTACAAAAATCATAATTGTCTGATGAAAAACAACGAGGTAATCATTTTATTGCCGTTATCTAATATATAAAATTCTCGTGTCACAGTTTTTGTTACCATACTCCTCCGAAACGGCTATACCGATTCTCACGAAATTTTGTGAGCGTATTGCATAGGTCTGAGAATCAAACAACATCAACATCTACAACTTTTCATCCTCTTAAATCCTGTTCGACATACCAAAAATCGCATATAAAGTGAGTTACTACCTCATCACACTGACAAAAACACACTACCATAGCATTTTAAATCAATTTAAACTGCGGCAAAAATCATTCATCATTAAGTAAAATCATTAATTCTATTTATGAGTGTTTTGTCGAGTGATCAATGCCAAGAAAACGCAAAGGGGAAGATTTGAGCCATGATACAAGTAGATCTCGATACATGCGAAATAGAAGATCCGAAAGAGTAACGCAATTGTATAAAGGAGAGCCAGAAGATACACGAGCTGAACGCAATGAAGTCAGAAGATTAGAACAACGACAACCACGCCGTTCCACAGTCCAACGACGTTGTTGGAACATAGGTCTTAGTACAGTGATTGCTAGAAGAGTACGTTGCCATCAGGTGGCGAAACGGAGTTCGCCGGGGTTTGCTAGTTTCTATATAGATTTTTCGATCTTTCCTATGGCAGCTATATGATATAGTACTCTGATTTTTATGAAATTTTTTTCTTGATTTAAGAGTATTTAAAAAACTTTATATTCCTAGAATAATGCTCGTGGGATTAAAAACAACAATTTTTTTTTTTTCATTATTTATATAAATATTTTTCGATCTCTCCTATGGGAGCTGTATGATAAAGTTATCTGATTTTGATCAAATTTATTTCAAAATTCAATACCATCTGGAAGAAATCAAGTCGATCCGATCAAAAACAGCTGCCTGAGAATTTTTTATTTCATTCTCTCGTATTGGAGCTATCCGATATAGTCGGCCGATCCGGCTCGTTCCGACTTATATACTGCGTGCAATAACTACACACCTGTTGGGAAAGTTTCATCAAGATAGCTTTAAAACTGAGAGACTAGTTTAAAGAGTAACGGACAGACTGACAGACGTACATACGTATTTGGATTCTGATCGTGATGCTGAACAAGAATATATATACTTTATGGGGTCTGAAGTGTCTCCCTCACTGCGTTGCAAACTTCTGACTGAAATTGACCTTTGCTCTGCAAGGGTATAAAAATTGATTTTCGAAAGGCTTCAAGGGACGATTACATTTTTGTGGCACCCCTGATAATAAGTAAATTAAGAAAAAACTAAAAAAAAAAACAGTTCAAACTAAAACTAGAATAAAAAAAAGATAGGTAAAACTTTTTATTGCAATTTGCAAGAAAAAAAATAATAACATTACTTTCTATTAAATAAGTTTCATATTATAAGAGCTTACTTCAAATAAGTCAACTGGAACTTCATTTTTTAATAAATATTTTTGAACGCTTGCAACGGCATCTTTAGAGTAGTCCTATAAATATGCAAAAAAAAAATATTTAAAAAATTAAATTTAGAACTACAGGAATACTTGCATAGGTGTGGGACAACATTTCTTCCATAATAAAATTATCATAAATTTCTCGAGCAAGTTTTTTCCTCTCATCGTAACATTCGGTTTTTTCAAATGTTTTTATCTAAAAAACATAAGTGTGAAATACAAATTGTTTTAGAAAATTATAATATTTTTACCTGTTCATAAAATTTTAATTGTTGTATAGGTTCATCAGAATCGTTCTCACAAAAGTCTTTAAACAGCAAGTAACCTAAAAAGAATTTTTTAATTAAATATTTATTATTATTGTATACATACCCAAAACTTCGTTAAAAATTTTTTGAAAATGTAGTTCATTTTCCTTCTCCAAATATTTATACATAACACTTCTGACGCTGAAAGTAAAACGAAATGTAAAATGTTTAACAATAGAGTAAAATACAAATTTATGCTATTTAAATGGAATTCTTGTTAATTTTATTTTTAACACCAAAAAATATCAGGGGTTTAAGAACTATTACAACATGTTCCCTCCCATATTCTAATATGGAAAAAGTAAAAAAAACCTTATGTTGTGACCCTTGCAGTCATCAATGATGTCTTACAAAATACATAAAGGCTAAAAAGATCGCATATTATTAGCAATTAGTGTCAAAGTAACGGAGTTACAGCGTTTTAAACGAACGAATTATTATTATTATTATTATTTATTTTATTATTTTCTCAGGGCTACAAGCTATTGCTTATTTATTATTGCCCTAGTCACATTGAATTTAAATTTAACATATATATATGCTTAAAGTAACTTAAAACTATTATTTAGAAATTAAAAATTTAAAAAGTCTTTGCTTGAATTTAAGATCTAATACAGTCGAGTCCTGATAATTCGAAATGGCAAGGGGATCACTTTTTTTTACGAATTAAACGGGAATTCGATTTATCGAGATTTTTTTCAAGGGATTTTTTTTCAAGGGAACAGAATTTTTTACGAATTATCGCGATTTTCGATTTAGCGGGGTACGAATTATCTGGATTCTACTGTAGATTAGTTTTTATCTCCTTTTTAATTTTAATTTTAATTTTATTTTCATTTTCATTTTTAATTTTATTTTCCTTTTTATTTTTGTTTTCATTTTCATTTTTTTGAAGAGCGTATCATTATACCCTTGCAGAGCAAAAGGGTATTATAATTTCAGTCAGAAGCTTGCAACGCAGTGAAGGAGACACTTCAGACCCCATAAAGTATATATATTCTTGATCAGCATCACGATCTGAATTGAAATACGTCTGTCCGTGTGTCTGTCTGTCCGTCTGTCTCCCTGTCTGTCCGTCTATCCTCCTGTCTGTAACTAGTCTCTCAGTTTTAAAGCTATCTTGCTAAAACTTTCCCAAAAGGTGTGTAGTCGGAATGGGCCTGATCGCATAGCTCCCATACGAGAGAATGAAATAAAAAATTTTCACTCCGTTATTTTTAACCATTTGATAATAATCACTTGATTTTTTTAAGATGGCGTTTTCGAACTACTATTGAATTTTGGATTAAATTTCATCAAAATCGGATAACTCTATCATATAGCTGCCATAGGAGAGATCGAAAAATATACATAGAATTAATGGAAATAAATTGATAACATCGTTGTTTTTTATCCCATGAGCATGATTTTTTGAATATAAAGCTTTTTAACAACTCTCATATTGAGAAAAAAGTTTAAAAAAAATCGGACAACTATATCTTATAGCTGCCATAGGAAAGATCGAAAAATCTATATAGAAATAACGGAAATAAAATTATAACTTCGTTGTTTTTCATCAGACAAGTATGATTTTTGGAATATAGAGTTTTCTTACTACTCTTGAATTTCGGATTAAATTTCATCAAAATCGGAGAACTCTATGATATTGCTCCCATATGATCTATAGTCGAAAGGGTATATAAGCTTCGGCTTGCCGAAGCTAGCTTCCTTTCCTGTTCCCAATTAGTTTTATAGAACAAGGTTATTGATTCCAAATGCAAATAGCGTGAATAAAAAATTGCCTTTCTGAGGTCAATGTTCTCTGCCATTTAACTATAATGTTTTTCATTCGTTCTGATGAGGCAAACTGAAGTTTACTGTACAGGTACGCTGGTTCTTTTGAATAGATAATCTTGTGCAGTAATAGTAAAGTTCTAAATTTCATATAGTCTTTTATACTTACTCCTAATATATTTACATGCTAGTGTCGAGACATGATCATACAACCTCAGACCGTATACATATCGAACAATATTGTTGAAACAAACATTGATTTTACGGAAACTAACTGAATCACAATTTACAAAAATTTCAACACCATACATTAAAGTTGGGACAAGACAGGTTTTGGCAACTAAGAGCCGAATGTTCGTCGGTAAATAGTTTTTTGTTGTATGTAACATTCTCAGCAGACCATAAGTCTTGCCAGTTGCTTGATTTATGTTATTGTTCTACGTAAATGTTTTATTAAATATGACGCCCAAGTTTGCCGTATGGTTCACATATTCAATAGGTGAATTATTGATAAGACGCCCAAATTAGCCGAATGGTTCACAAATTCAATAGGTTAATTATTGACATTGAGTTTTTTTATTTTGGAAGTGTCGATAATATTTTTGTATATTATCAATGCTTTTGATTTCGATGGGTTTAAACCAAGTCCATTTTGTTTTGCCTATACACTTATTTTTTTAAGGTGCTCATTACAAAACTCAATACATTCATTGATTCTATGTAGTTACAATACATTTACATACATTTGTACATCATCAGCAGACAAGTGAATCAGTGGACCATCGCACACAACAGTGACTAAGTCATTAACATATATCACAAACAGCATAGGACCAAGAACAGAACCATGGGGTACACCACGTTTCACATATTTAAAAGACGAAGAACAAGTGGACTTTACAACAGCTTGACATCTATTACTTAAATAAGACGAAATAAGTTTATTTGCCGTATCAGAGAAGAAAAACAGTGAACGAAGCTTTGTGCAAAGTATCAAGTGGTCAACAGTGTCGAACGCTTTGCTATAGTCAAGAAGTGTTAAAATAGTGACTTCCCCTTTATCTAGGTGTTCTCGAATTTCCTCGGATATTTTAATGACTGCTGAGGTACAGCTTTTGTTTTTCCTGAAGCCTGATTGCAGATCGGTTATTAATTTGTTAACATAAATAAACTTGTTCACTTGTAAAGCCATTACATTTTCAAACACCTTCGATAAAAATGGCAAAATCGATATGGGCCTGAACTCACAACTTCGTCCTTTGGGTACTGGAATAATTTTAGCCGCTTTCCATTCATCAGGAAATGTGGATGTCATTATAGCTGTATTAAAAATATGGGTTATAAATGTCAAGATTTTGGGAGTGAGAATTCTCAAAAATTTAGGGCTTAGGCCATCCAGTCCCACGGCGTTTGGTTTAATCCTGCAGATGCCTGATAATACTTCGCTTGGGCTGACACATGTTAAATTAAATCTTGTATCACAAGTATGAGTTGGGGGATGATTCAGATATATATTTTCAGTTGCTTCAGGTACATTTATGCTTAGGAACTTATTGTTTAACTCCTCCACATTAATATTTTCTATTATTGCGCGCTTCTGTTTTCCTATACCTAGACTTTTAAGATGATTCCATTTCTGCTTAGTGTTCACTGCGTTATCAAATTTACTACTCAAATAGTTTCTCTTGGCCGAACTAATAAGTTTGGTGACGATCTTCCTTAATTTAGCAAAGACGTTGTAATGAGAGTAAGTTTTATATCTCTTCCATTTATGAAATGCCCTTTTTCGTTTTGCTATCACCATCCTAATGTCAGTATTGAACCATGGGTTTTCTTTCAGTCTTACTTTTTTCTTTTTAAGTGGTACGTGTCTGTTATATAGGTAGTTGATGTTCGTTTCTAGCTGTTGAATTTGACAGTTTATTGACGTTAAGCAAAAAATATAGTTCCAGTTTATTAAATCAAAATCGTGGGCCGTTGTAATCTATATTTCTAAAGTCACGGAATTCTATGTAATGGTCAGTGTAGTCTGGGTAGGTATTATAAGTCAGGAAAATTAGGTCATGTTTAGAGTAAGCTGGTGCTGCCAATTGGTCATATTTTAAATTTTTCTCAAGATTGTTAACAAAGAACAAATCAATGAGCGTATTTGTGGAATTTGTAAAATGAGTAGGATTTGTAGAATTGACAGGCGCTAATCCTATCGATTCCATATTACCTAAGAGCCGATTGTCTTTCAACCTGTCACAGTTAAGGTCACCAGTCAGAATGATGTCAGTAAAAGCAGAGGCAAATGTCGATATAAGGTCTATTAAATGAGAAAAGTCAATATTATTGTTAGGTCGGTTATACAGCCTATTAATATTGTACTCTTATCTGGTGCATTCTTAATTCGAAGAAAAATGTACTCCATTGGACTATCAGGGGGGCTTTGGCAATGTATAGACACATTAAGTTTTTTTGTTTACATATATAGCAACACCACGACTACCACCACCACGACTAGGACGATCCACTAGAAACACATTATAACCATCACAATCTATTAATACGCTACATAGATCAGGTAAAATTCATGTCTCAGACACACATATAATATCGACATTAGAGTTAACAAGATAAATCTAAATTCATTAATCTTTCTCTTTAATCTTTGTGCATTTATTTGGCATACGTGTAGGCCAGGCTTTCGACTGCCAATACGAACTAAAGTTTCACTGTTCGCATTGGATTTTGCGTTAGCTAAAGTTATATTGGATAGTTATAAATCCTATTAAATAATTGTCAGTATACAGCATAATGAAAATCTTTAGATTATAATATAAACTTAATAAAGTAAATAAAGAGTTAACACGAGTGCGATTAAGAAAAATAAAAAGGGAGAAATTCTGTTCGTTGATTAAATATTAGTGGTTAGTATTAAGGCAGGTTCTCACCTTGTAGGGCCGAAAAATTGACCTTTTTTAAAAAAATTGTTTTGAGAAAACGGTTAAAGATAAAAATCTGAAATTTGTAACTTCATTTGAAAACTTATTTATTTTGCGGAAAAAATTTCAAAATTGAAAAATCAAAAAAGGGGCAGGGGAGCGCGTTCCCCAGTTGCAATATTTCGGCAAAAAGGTGACCCGCTTACGGATGTGATTAAGCCAAAATGGGTAATCGGAAGCACAAAAACCGAAAAGATTCTTAAAGTGTACAGTACTGTGAAGAAAATGAATGGATCAGAAAAAAAAATTAAAATTGCAATAGTTATTAGCTTTTGAAAAAAATATCGATTTTCGCGCTTTTTTTCTCACTAATTATTTTCCCAATTAAACAGTTTTCAATATTTTTGGATAATCCTAGTGCATTAGTTAAAGAAAACTATTAGGAACATTTAAGGCCAGGTTCCTCTGAAAAACGTACTTTTTTTAATTAATTTTATTTTTATAACAAAAAATGTTGAATATTCAATTGTTTTTATATATGTATGAAAGTATGTATATGAAATTACTTAAATAATTTTTTTTTCAAAATGGCGGTCCTAAAAATGGCTGCTGAAACTCGTCCGATTCGTAGATGGGTGACACGATTTCCTGAAAAATAATTATCTGAATGCAAAAACCAAAATAGTTTTGTGTTCTGCATCGAAGTAGCTAGGGCCGGTACTAGAATGAAAACTTTTCAATGAAAAATAAAAAAATGGAGGACTTTTGAATTTTTTTAACCCTTTTTTTCACTTTTAATTGTTTATAACTTTTTTAAAAAATAATGAATATTTCTGGTTCTGGTACCGGCCATAGCCAGACATGTTAAGAGTAAAATGCCGTTTGGTTCAAATCGATAAGTGCAATAGTTTTGAAATGAGAGTGTCACCCATGCGAAAAAACGTGGTTCGGAGAAAAATCAGTTTAAAGTTTTTAAGGCGTTCGAGCGGCCGGACTACCAGCAGCGCTCCTCACTCTTTTATACGCACTTCTCGGTCTTATTGACCTTCGGGACTAATTCTATACTATTTCGACAAGTATATAGTAGCAATTTATAAAAAAAAAAATTTTTCATTTTTTCAAAATTGTTCAGAGGAACCTGGCCTTAAAAAAAAATTTGAAGACGATTGGTTAACCCCAACGCCTTCAATTACTTCCGTAAAGTCCGAAAACGTGGTTCCGAGATAAACGCGCTTAAAGTTTTGGCTTCCAATGGCCGGTGCTCGACATGTGCTCCATGTAAGGGCCTGTAACTTTTGTAATATTTCAAATTTGGATCTGAAATTTTTTGAGAACATTTGCGGAACATTCATCTATACGATAAGCCAAGAAAAAAAATCAATTTTTTTTTGTCACAAGGTGAGAACCTGCCTTAAGGGCGAAAAGAGTGAGTGCTACTGTTTATGGGCTCTCTTTTCTTCCAAGCTAAAAGTTCTTGGTAGCTTTCAACTGCAACGATCTCACTGGTTTCACGCTCTTTTATGTGCACCGCTCCCCTCCGCGCAAAAACTGCAACAAGCTGCTTATTCCTTTTCATGCGCATGGCCTCTTAGAAAGCCTCGTACGCACCTTTCGGAAGCTGCTTATTAATATAAACTACAAAAGGAGAGTCAATGCCAAAGTGCTTTAGAGTCAGCTGCTCCTTAGTCTCTCTTCGGTATGCTGTCGTTGCTTTTAGAATAGCTGCCTTGTCTCCCAAACATTCCAGTTTAACCATGATCGCTGTGTCGACCACAGTAGTTGTCGCGTTTCTCCGTGTTGTTCTGAAAATTTATTTTATTGCCGGCGCGGGTGTAATGTGATGGTTGAAGCACATGGTATTGAACAAATATTTCATTTTTCCCCTTCCACCATCGGCACACCATGGATCATTAGAGTGCTGGCCCCGTTTGCCTTTTCACAATATTGGACTCCAGAACTACTTGCTTCGGCCTAATCGCACCCAAATCCGCAACCTCGCGCTCGAGGTACTGCACACGCTGTACCAATTGTTGGACCTCGCCAGCCAGACGCTCCTCCAGTATATGTAGAAAGCGCTCCTCAGCCTCTTGCATTTTAGAGGAAATAAGGATGGCCTGCTCTGCAAACCGCTGGTCAATGAGCTGGATCAATTGGGGCGACGGAGCATCCGATGATCTCCCACCACCCAGATCAGTCGAGTTTGAGTGTTTATTCTTGAGTGTTTTGTGATTGAGTGCTTTTGTTTCGCGTTCTATTTGAGTGATTCCGCTTAGTCTTTCGATTGGGACTTGTGCTGTTATTTTTCCCAATTCCGTTTTCGACAAAATTTTAACGCACCAAATATTATTTAGAGTTTTGTATTGATTATTTCTTTATTATTTGGCCAGATTGTATTTTTGCGGTCTATGTTTCCAACTTCGTTGCCTATTCTTGTGATTCACGCACTTTTTACGAGATAAAGATCGGCTTTTTTCGCAGTACTTTTAATTACTCGGCGGAGAGATGTAAAAACACGTCTGTGGTTTCGGTATGTAAAAATATCTCCTTTGGATGTATTTTGACGTACAAAAATAAAAATATAATACGTGGTTTTGAGAAAAACGGGTTTAAAGTTTTGGCTTCAGATCACCGGTGCTCGATATGTGCTTTATGTAAAGGACTGTTACTCTTGCAATTTTTCAAATTTTGATGTGGAATTTTTTGAGCACATTTTTACAACATAAATCTATACGAAAAGACAAAAAAAAAATCGATTTTTCCCCCCACAAGGTGGGAAACTGCCTGAAGGGAATAGTCAGCCAGTTTTTTTTTTTTTTCAAAAATTAAAAAAAAAAATTTTCTGATTCGGGTACTTTAAACCTTTAAGAATAAGGTAGAAACCTTCCTTTACCTCAGATGTTATCGGAAAGTGATAAAAAACGAGATTTGCCACACGGCGTCATGCGCTCGAGTAGCGCACCTTTAATATTTAAACGAGTTTTTCTCCATCTTTTGAAAATCCGTGTTTCTTCAACTGGTACCCACGATTAAGGCTGACCTACTGTACCGATTTACTTCAATTTTTTTTAAATGTTCAAAAAAGACATGCCTATCGCGGGAACCAGAATCAATCAATATTTTACAAAATTATAGCAACAAATGTAAAAAAAAAAGAAAAAAACACGCAAAAAAATTGAAAATTGCATAACTTTTTTATTTATCAATATTTTTTCACAGTTCTGGTACCCGCGATAGCCAATCACATTTACTTTAATATTAAATTTGTTTGATGTGATTCAGATTTTCTGAAGTGGAGAAATCGTGGGTACCGTTTTGAAAATTGCCGACTTCCGGTCGCCCATATCTCCACCGGAAGTGGACGAAAATTGAAAATTTTTTTTTTATGTAGTGAAACTTATATCCTACAACATATCGACGCATTTCCGCGAATGTATCGTATGTCGCTTTTTTTCGAAATTGAGATTTTAATGCAAAATTGTTAGGCACCTAATGTCGCAACAAAATTTAAACGCAGTAATTGAAAAAAATATCAATTAACTAATATGACCAAGAAAAATGTTGTAATCGACAAAAACAATACCACTTTTCATATAAAACTAAAAGAACGAGGCACTTCTGACGTCGAAGCTTATTTCAGGCAAGAACTTTAATATACCATAACTTAATTATTTCTTAATTTTTACATTTTTTAAACTCCCATTTGTTTGTTAAGGGCTTTAAATTAGTTTCATAAAGATTTCAACATTTTTCTAGTTCTTTTAACGGGTATTTTACCCCACTTCTACAGTAAAGAAATCTTCAGGTCATTTTCATTGGAAAATCCACTTTTTCGAATCGCCAAGTCCAAAATTTTCAACAAATGTTCAATAAAATTTAAGTATGGAGACTGTGTTGGCGTATTAATCCTATTGGGACAGTTCTATATCAAGAAAGGGCGACAAAAAAGGGCCGGGTTGCACCAAACCAAATATTCAACGAACTCGAGGAGCGCTGTTTTGTCCGGAAAATTAAGGAAAACCCTAAGCTATCAGCTTCAAAAATAGCTGCGCAGATTGAGATCGAAATGGTCAACAAATTTTACCCAAATACAGTTCGGAACATATTGCACCACCATAACTTTAATGGTCAAATAGCAAGAAAAAATATATTCAAAAGTATAAAAATAAGATGTCTTGGGTCAAGTTCACCATGGTGTTAGAAATTCGGCCGATTTTTTTCTGGAATTACGAAATTTAAGAAGACGAATCAATTTTTAATTATTTCGGGTCGGTTAGAAGACGCTTAGTGAGGAGATATTTCAATACGAAGATGGAAACTAAAAAGTTAAGAGCAATGGATTGGCACCGCTGTGAACCATGTCATGGTTTGGGCTTTTATGGCTGCTCCCGTCGTCGGGAATTATGTTTTTATTGTCGGTATCGTGAATGCTTAATAATCTTAAATAAATATAATATAAATATATCTTAACCAATAACAAGGAAAATTTGGTTAAAAATGTCGATAACTTAGGTAAATGGAATCAATTTAGATTCAACCAAGACAATGACAAAAAGCCTTTTGCTAGAAATGTTAGCTTTGGTTAAGCTGGAACTGCCTTAATGGGATTAAAACGCAAACACAGTCGCCAGACTTTAGTTTTATTGAACATTTGTGAAAAATTTGGACTTGACGGTTCGGAACAGTGAATTTTCCATCGAAAACGATCTTAAGATTTGCCTGTCGGAGGAGCTGAGTAAAATACCCGTGAAAACAACTAGAAAAGTGTACAAATACATGTAAAATTTATTTAAAGTCTTAAACAAACAGAGGGGAGTTAAAAATAGTGTTGAAAAAATAAGAATTATTAAAGTTATTTTTTATTAAACTGCTTGCACGAAATACATAAGCTTCTGCGTCAGAATCGCCCTATTTTTTAGTTGTTGTATAAAAATTTGTTTTATTTTTTAAATAAGGAAAAACTTTCGATGTTATCCAAATAGAAAAAGAGTTTCCTTAACTTTTTGCGTTAAGATTTTTTTGATATCTTTGCTACTTTGGTAGCGGTGTCGATTTAAAACTTTGTTTTATTCTTGCACGAACAAAGCTTCGATCCACTGTATGTATGTATGTATGTATGTTACATATGTATACTTTATGGCTTCTAAGGTATCGCCTTCACTTGCAAAATTCTGACTTGAATTATGACACACTCTGCAAGAGTGATCAGATATATTTGAGTGTGGTTGCCCTTTCATAATTGGTCGTTATAGTTTTACCATCGTTTTGATCACCGATGGCAACCTACATGTCAAACTGCAGCATACTTTTACTGAGGCAACCCATGTTAAATTTTTGTACGTGTTCATCATCATTTTACATAGGAAAATATTTATACCTGGGGTCTGGTAAAATTAACTTCTTGCTGGCCCTTGCAGCTGGAGTACATTTAGATTTTTCCATTGCCATCAGATAGCTGACATCAGCTAACACCGCTTCTAAGTCCGCCATAGCCTTTATATTTGTTTTTTCTTCTGTTTACAATTTGTGTTATATTGAGATTGAGCCCTATTTTTATTGATTTTTTTGTGCACACATTGAAAAGAATTCTATAAATTAAAAAATGAAACAGGGCTTTATTATTGTTGTCAACAATAAAAATGATGTATATATTTTCTTTCAGCCCTTGGTAGATTACAGAAAAAATATCGATGTTATACTCAAAACGACTGAATTTACTACAAAAAAAAAACCTTTGTCACACTGCGCCACGTGCAAATGCATTCACACCGAAGAAACTCTGTCTAAAAAAAATAATTGGATCACAGTGAAAACAAGCCAGTTAATTCTATCCATAAGAAAATATGCACTCGCATATCTCTGCGTACAATAGAGGTTTGATTTAAAACATTGATCTTTTTTAGCAACATGTTTTCTAACATCGAAATTTTCGATGTTTTGATTAATTTTAAACAAAATGACAACAATTTATTCAAGTTTTACATTAAATTAGTTTTCCGGCCTTGTTTAACATATCGACCCATTTCCGCGACTGTATCGTATGTCGCTTTTTTTCGAAATTGAGATTTTAATGCAAAATTTTTAGGCACCTAATGTCCCACTACCCTGTGAAATATTATAACTGAAAGCCCTATAGTTCCGATAAAAATTAAGTTTCAATTTTATCGTATGTTACAATGTGCGCGCGAAATTATCGTATGTCCATAAAAATTTGCATGGAAATACTGCAATCGCACAAAAAATACCGAAATACAAAAATAAAGAAAAAGCTTCTCCTGTAAAATTTGATTTTTCTACATACGATACAGTCGCGGAAATGCGTCGATATGTACGTTCAGAATCACAAGAAGTTGCTGAAACACAGATATGCTTTTTGATAATATGTTTCCAAATTTTTTCGTCAGTGTCAAAAAAAAGAAGAAAATACAGTCGAGTCCCGATAATTCGAAATGGCAAGGGGATCACTTTTTTTGACGAATTAGACGGGAATTCGATGTATTGAGATTTTTTTCAAGGGAACAGAATTTTTTACGAATTATCGCGATTTTCGATTTAACGGGGTACGAATTATCGGGATTCGACTGTAATTAATTTTTGCATTCTTGTAGAAAATGTGAAAAAAAAATCCATACAAACGAAGCCTCTCTACGTCGCTTACCCATGTGGATTTGCGGTTTCTCGACATTAGTATTTAGTTATTAAATTAAAATAATGTGGAGTGGGAGCACAATAAATATAATTTATTGTTGCGTATGTGCATTTGTGCATGTGTATGGGACACATAAGCACATTGCATTCATAAAAGCTTACCTTCTAAAAATCGGTCCATCGTTATTCTTTAATAGCTCTCAACACCGCCAATAAATCAATTAAATTTCCGCTGAACATACGCTAAATTTGAATGATTATTTATTAGAATATATAATTTAAAATATAATTATACACAGCTATTGGTATTTACCCTTTTCTTGCTATTTCTTATTGTGAAAAAAAATTATAAGAAAAGTTTCAATTAAACCATTGATGTTAAACAAAAACATCGATGTTAATATCAATGCTAGAAATTATGCATCGATGTTGGGTATTCTTTTTTAAACATCGATACATCGGTAAAATATCTTTGGATCGTCAAGCCTCTAGCGTACACTCTAAAAAAATTTAAAAATCAAAATGCATCATCAAAATGCCATTTATGCACATATTCATTATTTTTTTTAACATGTGTAAACATTGTATTGTGGGGTATAGCCCAAGAAATATAGTAAAGAGGAACTGCAATGGAATATAGTTATATCCTGAAGAAATCTTAGCCTGAATTGGTTAACATTTTGAAGACAAAAGGCGTTTGTTTCGGCGAAGGTGCAACTATCGGACGGCAGCGCCGTAAGAAATATAATGAATGAAAAATCCGTAGCGACAAACATGGTGGAAATGAATAATATGATTGTTGAGCTAATAAGCTTTTTTATTAGCTGTTGAAGTAATTATGCATGAGGAAAATTTTGTTTTCGAATTCTGTAGCAGCGATTTTATTTTCGACGAAAAAGAGTTACAAATGGTCCGCGGGATTGAAAAGAAGTAATACAATTGAATTGAGACGCGGATCAGCCGATTGCTGACCCAAAGTATAAACCAACAAGCAACGAGAGAGAGAGCGAATAGAAAGATAAAGAGAGAGAGAGCGGTGGTAATTATGCAGATAAGATAAGAGCTAGCATTAAGAGAATCTAAATATCTGCTGCGGCTGGATGACCCGACAATGATGAAACCTGAAAGTTTAATAATTACAACCGGCGACGGCGAGTGCACCCGTGGAAAGTGACGAAGTAAAGAACGTAATTCCTGAGAACGCCATTTCTGAAACCGGCGCCAACGAGGATGTCCGTGAGGAAGAGAGAGACGAATATAGTGTGGCATCGACGATAGTCTGGCGCAAAATAGCGGTCAACTTTATAAAGAAGATGATGAAATCACAGAAAATGGCCTTCGAAACAAGCAGATGCAAGTTTTTTTGTGCGAAGCAGAATGTATGCAGTTGGAAATTCAACACTTGAAGAAATTGGAGAACCTATACCTAGCTCGCAAGCGTGTTGCCGAGCTTGAAGCGGAAGTGCAGCTGCTGGAAGGAGGATCAAGAAGAGCAAGTAAAAGCGATACCATTGATATCAAAGATGTTGAAACCTTGGTAAATTGCTTTTCAGGAGACGGTGGCTACCCAATACAACATTGGATAAATAACTTTGAACACATTATGAATAAGTTCGATGTACCGGATCAACGCCGATGGATGTTTGCAAAACGTATGCTGTGTGGATCAGCCAGAATTCAGATGCTTCATATTAACCCGAAGACATGGACTGCCCTGCGCAGGGAGCTGCTAATGGTCTTCGAAAAGAAAATGACGACGTGGGACGTGATTAAACAATTGGAAGCTAAAAATAAATCTCCAAATGAAAGCGCACTCCAATATTACATCGCTATGTGTGGCATCTCCAAGCAAGCAATTTTGGCAGACTTTGATCAGCTTGTAACCGTAGAGACCCCAACGACACCAGAAAAATGAAGATGACCAATTCGGCAAACCCTCAGCAAGGACCTATGGCAGTGCGATGCATCAATTGCAGAAAAATGGGGTATTTGATGAACGAGTGTAGACGTCCAAAAAGACCGGAAGGCGCCTGCTTCAACTGCTACAGTCAAGACCACAAGTACCAGGACTGCCCGAAGAAGAGAGCTGTTACTACCGTAGCTGCCGTACAAGATGAGGAACTGGCGGATACAGAGGACCTAAGAGCTGTTCAATCTGTTAAGTTATGACTTTTTGATGGTGAAGAGAGATGTATATTAAGTTTGTTTAAAACAGAAAGTCCAGTCATCTTTATTCAAAAATCATTTGTTCCAAATAACGTTAAATTTAAATCACATAGAAGCAAATACCACGGTATAGGTGGCGAACAAATTTTATTTTATTTTTATTTTAAAACTTATAAAATTGCATTTTTAGTTGTAGAAGACACCTTATTACCACTACCAACTCTATTGGGCCGAGACTCATTAAAGATAATGGACGTCCAATTAATACATACAAAACGAATAAATGCCGAAAAAAACAAAAAAATAATTACAATAATAATTCATTTTGTTCATCTCTTTTCACCAATAAACATATAACCAATTAAAATAAGTATAGTATTTTAAGTAATCAGAATAAGCAACAAGTAAACCAAAGAGACAACCAAAATAATCAGAATTAGAAAATTTTTTTTAGTAAATACTTAGTATATACAGAAGAAAATGTAGATGAATTATATAGGGGAATGTTGTCAGGGTTAGTACTTATTTTGACCTATGTCCATCAGTTCTGAACGAATGACAATTTTGAATAAATTTATACATTTTTGGAAAGGTACGAGCAAGAGAAAGTGGTCACCAAAAATAGAGAATAAAAAAACAAAAACAAAAAAAGTTATAGGCGTTTGAAAAAAAAAAATGTAGTCAGAGTTGGGCCATGTTGTCAGGGTTGGGCCACCTTCAGAAAATCTTTGACAATATCGTAACGTGGTGGAATAAAATTGAATTCAGGTAAATCGCACATTATTTTGTTCATTTATTTTATTATTCGGGATTTTACAGTAAATGTTGGTTCAAGAAAATGATTCAGAGTTGCAGTTTTGACATATAAAATAACTTTTTCGCAGTTTTGCGCACTTCAGGTGAACTTCCCTCTTGCATTCAATGCACGCAACAGAGTTGTTGCGATTTGTATACCGTAGCATAGTTTCCAAACATATAAAGCGGAAATCGATGTCTTCATCTTCATCAGAAGAGAGTTTATTTTTGCATTTTCTTTGGGGGACGACCACGTTTAGCTGGTATTTTGGTGCATGCTTTTGGTGCAAAAGTTGTTTTTTTCGATCCTTGTTTTTGTCGAATAAAAGTTAGGAATAATTTCTTTGTCTCATTCAAAATTCACTCTTTTCCATATTTTTTCTACAAAAGACTGAAATATTACAACAAAAATTGAAAATACACGAATAAAATTTATTCGTGTAGTAGTAGTAGTCAAGCCTGACTACAAAAGTGGCCCAACCCTGACGATATTGGCGGTATTAATCTATTGTGGTATGATATAGCCAAACTATATCTATCAATGAAACTATATCTTAGTATTTTGTAATATAATAACTATATAACGTATTTTTATGCTCACCTTGCGGATGACATGTTGTAATCTTGTGTTATTCCACTTTTTCGGCCAGGTTAAAAAAACTTTTTCGAGCACTTTTTTTCACAGGACAACGACACGTAGGAAAATGAAATCCCGAAATAAGTAGTCACGTAGAAAGTTTCTTGTGACCGATAGAAGTTTCTAGACACCCACAAACAGATGGTACTAGAACGAATATCCAAAATATTGAGATGGCCCAAGCCTGACAACGGTCCAACCCTGACAACATTCCCCTAGTATAGGGAATGAATTCGGAAAAATAGCCGAAGAAAAATGTAGGAAAATAGTAAAAACACATTATTTAAGCAAAAATGTCGATTATGAGAAATCACCTATTTATCAGATGAGCATTAGGGTTAAAAATACAACACCATTCCATTGCTCATCTACCCAGCGGGCAAAAACCTGTGGAAAATATGCTTCTTTCCAAAGGTTTCTTCATACAAGCAGAAGGGCA